CTACTCTTATTTCCAAAGAACGGTAACGGGTTTTGTAAAATTCATTTATATATAATAATAAAAATGTTTTTACCCGAAAAGTGACAGAAAAGTGACAAAGCATGAAAACATATATAATTTGTGAAAAGTGACATAAAAAGTGACATTTTAAAAAGTGACACCATTAATATGATGTAAATAACAACGGTTTTGGTTTTGTCACCGGCTGGTCGGCTGGGGTTCGGTCCTCCTCTTGGGTCTTGGGCAAAATTTCTTAGGGCTAGAAGGGGCGCAGCCCCTGGAAGCCCCACTTACCTGACCTTATATTTCCACTCATTATATTCGTAAATTTTGAGGTTTATCCTTCGCTTTTAAGATCATTGAATTTGATTTTTATATAAAATAGTTATATATTAGAAAATAATATGAGTTTATGTGATATTATTTTTCAGAAGATTTTGTGTTCTTCTTCAAAATTTTACTTTTTTATTAAAAAGAATCTTTACAAAATATACATTTACTTTAATTAATATTTAAAAACGTGCTCTATCAAAAGTTCCAAAAATTCAATATTTTAGCTTTTCTGATGTGTCACTTTTGATGAATTTCTGTTTACAACAACATAAAAATAAAATAAAAACAATTTTAATAAAATAAAATAAAAAATAAATGATATCACTACCTTCACGCGTATGAAAACATAGCACAAAATAAATTAAGGTGAAGTGGTGAAATCTCACCTCTTTTTTCACCCGGTTTTTCACCCACTTGAATTCATTGCTTTATAACTCTCTTCTAACTCACTAAATAATAAAATAAAATAAAAATAAACGTTGTCAGAGGTGAAAAAATAAATTAAGGTGAAGTGGTGAAATCTCACCTCTTTTTTCACCCGGTTTTTCACCCACTTGAATTCATTGCTTTATAACTCTCTTCCTTTCTCCAACTCTTCTAGCTTCTTCTTAAGTTCAGCAATGTTGTCTTCATGTAATTTAATCTTTCTCAAAATTCCTTCTTTATCTAATGGTTGCTTTATCTTTCTAAACTGAACTCTACCATCCTTCATAGTATGAATGTAAAAACCTTCTGGAATAGTTTCTGATTTAATGTATTCTACCAAGAACTTTTGTTTCATTGCTTCAGTGACTTTATTTGTCATTTCAATCAAATAAAAATTTTAATATTAAATAAAAATAACGTTATTTTTTTTCAGTAAGGAAACGCAGGAGTTTTACGATTTATTTGAGGAGTAGGTTCTGGTTTAAATGTTGGAGTCGGTTTTGGAGTTGACTTTTGAACAGGAGTTTGTACTTTCATAGGTTCAGGAGTCATTGAAGGTGTTGTTTGTGAAGGCGTTGGTTTTGGCGTTGGTTTTGACGTTGGTGTCGGAGTTTGTTTAACTTCAGCTACTTCAGTATTATTTACAACATTTGCTTTATTTCTTTTCAACATCATTACTGCTCCTGCTGTAGCTAGCAAACCTAGTGGGAGACCATATTTTATATAAGGACTTGACCAAATGCTATTTTTGACAGGAGCTGGTGGAACACCTAACCTTGGTGAGACTGCTCTTTGCCATTGTGCAGCTCGTAAGAAATATTCAATAGGTGCTCCATAATCGTTTGGTAAAATTTGTTTCATAGATGGTGAAGGTTCACGAGAGCTTGATGAAGAACTCATTTATAAGCTTTAAAAATAAACGTTCATCCTTTATTCCTCACTGTCGTCCGTGCTAAGTTATAGTCGTCAAGTCTTATTATTGGTATGCCTGACTGTCTTACTTGTATTGCAAAGCAACAATCCCTCATAAATCCAATAAGTGGCTTTGGTACATTTTCAGTTGCTAGTTCAATAGGTCCTTTAACAGACAATTTGTATGTTATTGGAGCAGTAGATGTTTGACCTTGCTGGAAGCAAAAGTCCACTTCAGTTGGAAAACCACATAAGAAATGTGTGTTGTCATAGCTATCCCATTTATGTTCCACACTACCATCATCCACCAATGACCTCATAACATCTTCATTAAATCCTATCATATCATTGTTTGTATTGCAAGCGTTCGCAACCATTTCATAAAATACAGGTCCATATGATTTTTCAGGTTCTGCAGGCATATTTCCATAAGCTCCCATGGAAAGCTGAAGATATTTAAACTTAGGGTTCTCAAAATTAACATAATAGTTGTCTTTCTTTCTAAATAGTGCCCAAATACTTTTAACATTAATAGGCGTATAAGCTGCTGTAAATGTTGCACTTGAACTATCTGTATTCTTTGAGAATGAACCGTCCATAGGAATCCAATCCATAACTTTAACAGGAAAACATAAAGCCTCGTTTGTATAATGTTCTACAAGTTCTGTATAAATGTTAGGGTCTAAAGAGAATGATTTTGGATGAATGAAACATTCATTAAAATCCATCTTTGTTCGAAATAGTTGCTGGGTTACAGTTGTAATAGTAACTGTTCCACTAGCTTCTATTGCCTTCGTTATCATAGTGAATGGTTCATTCCATGGAACAAATTTATTTGTCGGTGGATTTGAATCTGAAGCAAATGCAACTTTAAGAGTTGGATTGAAAGCAACGATATCATTTACAGATATAGATGTGCATTGTAAGGCGTCGCTACTGAACTTTACTTTAAGCTGAATGTTACCAGCAAATGCAGGAATAAATCTTATAGCTTCTAATGGTAAAAACTTTCTAACAGGAATTCTTAAACGAAGCTTAAAATCAAATGATTTTCCTGCTGTAATTGGACCACTAACAATTTGTCCTGTTCTGCATGTTCCCGAATGACTCCATACATCTTCATGTCGAGTCTTTGAAAAAACATCTACTTTCTTTATTTGTTCGGTAGTTTGTGAGTTTGAAGTTATATATGCTTCTTCTCTTGCGTTGTCTTGAGAATATACGATACGACCATTTGCAAGGATTTGATATCCAGCAACTGCATAGAAAGCGTCATCGAAACCAATCCAAAATCCTGGTGGGTTTGTTTTATTGGAACCTGAACCAATTTCTTTATCTACAATAAATTGACCTTCCATTTTATACGTAATGAATGTATTGTAAAGGTCCAACATATTTTCACCAGGAGGTGAGAGATTGAATGTTACCCATGTGTTATCTTTAGCAGTTCCAGGTTGTGATGGAATCTTTGCGTCAGAATATTTTCTATTAGTGTCACCAATTTGAACTGCATTGTCTATGATATCGAAATATGAGCGAATCTGATGAATATGCTCTGCTGGAGTAAATTCGTTTAGCTGTTCGTTCTGCATGTATTTACTTCAGATAAAAATATCTATTTACTTCATTATTCTCACTCTTCTTCTTGGCATTCGTGGTGGAAGTTGTTTCTTGACATTTTCAATGAACTGTACATTCTCTTTTGTCTCAACTTCTTTCACTGGTGGGTCAGGGTTCTTTGACTCGGTTTGCTTTTCAATGAAATTCACGAACTTTGCAATAAGCTCTTGGTTCGTTATTGAAAGTACATCTGGCTTCTTTTCTTCTTGTTCTTTTGGTGGCTCAGTTTGAACAGAAGGTTTTATATGGGCTTCACCCTCGGTGCCATGCACCTTAATGTTGTCGCTCTCTGCATTCGCTAATGGAACCTTTCTTTTTCTTACATATATTTTACCATCTTTACTCTGACTTACATAATAGAAAGGATGTTGTATTCCTCTGGCGTCATTTAATATAATAGACTCTCGTTCTGATTTTGACAAGCTCATTTTACATTGGTTAAAGTTTCAATTTTGTTTTTTATCTGCAGTCAAATGACTCAGACAAGTCATACGGACAAGACCCAAGGGGTCATAGATGTTGAAGCATTGAAGAAAGAAATTCGTGAGCAAATTTTATCCGAACTGAAGGAACAAAAACAAGAACAAAAGCCAGAGAAACCAAAGAGAAAGTTAAGTGAAAAACAACTTGCTGCATTAGCTGCTGGAAGACAGAAGAACCCACGTTTGCTGGCGAAGAAAGCTAGAGAAGAAGCAAAAGCAAAGGAAGAACAAAAAGCTAAAGAAGCTGAAGTGGAGAAAGAGTAAATGGTTTATTTTTATCGGAACTAAATGTATAGACAAATACCTTTATCTGTTGCGTTCAGTAGTGAAAACCCTGACGTCAAAATAAAGGGGAACAGAGTAACGTTTAAGTTTCCAACAGACTGGATTGTGAACATAAATGAAGAGAAGTACATTGGCATAACATCTATGTATATAACACGTGCTTTCAGAAAGGTTGAATTTATACTTCAAGTCGAGATAGAAAATGACGAACAGTCTTTAAGTGCCCAAAACATTCACATGTACAGGTACTTCAATGATAGTACGACGTTAGAAGACTGTATAATTACATTTTACGAAAATTTTCAAAAGAGGTTTAACATGGATTTAGAAATATTACAACCTTTACGTGATTTTCTTGCAAAACTGAAAGAAGAAGGAATTGTAGAAAGATTAATAGCTTTTCATTACGAGTTCGTGGAAAATGAAGATGGAACACATGACTGTCAATTCATAATATTCTCACCATTCAATGAATTAGCTGAAAAGAAAGAAAATCCATTACGTATAAAATTTCAAATCTCTGAACCAAGTGATGATTTCAAAAGTGTATTCAATTATGATGCAATGCTTCCGAGGAAAAATGATTTTTCAGAAATTAGATTTCCAGGTATTTGGGATAGAAAGCAAGCAATACTTTACTCTAATATAGCCAAAGGCGTTGAAAATGAGTTCATTGGTCATACAAGAAATTCACCACTGCCAAATCCTAAATATTACAAGCTTACTGGCTTCAATCGTGAGTTTTGGATAGACATGTACTCCACTCATGACCATAAAGCACCTGTTTTGCTACCTCCAGATGGGAAAGATTGTTTATACATTGAAGCACAATTGTTAAACTCTACAATAGCTGTATTGTAAATGACCACATAGGCTTCGCCCTTGCCGCTAGCGGCTTATTTTTATCACGAATGACCTCATTGCTGACAAAAATAAATGACCTCAGAACTTCAACTTACGAATAAAGCTTGTTTTAGTCGTTATTGAGAAGTTAAACTTCTCTTCAAAGCAAGGTTGGCATGACTTACATAAGTCAAATGCAATCTCTTGACCGTCATGAAGTGCTTTATATAACTTCATAACACTGAACTCAGAGTCTTTGTCAAATTTTCCTTGCGGAACCATTAAACTTTTATCTTCATTGTAATAGCATTGTATAGCTTCAGGAAACATTTCATTTGCTGTTAAAGCAAGGACGTCTTGTTTGACACCTTTGCAACGTGCATGGAATGCAACTTCATTTAAATCGTTAGTGAGTAAGTCTATGTAGGTCTTCTTTCCACAAAATATCGACTTATAAGCTAAACTTTGTTTACCTTTTGTGATTTCTGCAAAGTCGGAATGGAACTGACCTAAATTCTTTCCAATAAGTTCGCGACCATATCTCTTCTGAAATTCCTGAGCTAAACGCGGGATGTCTTCATTGAAAATACTGATACCATATGTCCAATCCCATATCTTCAATCGTGTAAAATACTTCATTCATGATACGTTTCGACATAGATAAGATATTAACACCAAGTGGACAGAAGTTAAAGTGTCTGCAAATACTTTTTGTTAGTTTGAATATAGTCTTATCGGAACCATCCAAACCTTCGAACTTCACTATATGGTTGTAATTTCTTATAGCATATCTTATAGCATCTTTGTCATCTACTATGGTTATTTTTGACTCAATAGGAGATAAAATGGTTTTGCCATAAATGCTGTTCAAAATGAGCTTTATAATTTCTTGTAATGGGTTTTCTTCTTTCTTATACTTTAACCTTAACTCAAACAACTTCTTTACTTCATCTCTTATTCTCATATCTCTGTTTCCATCGTAATAGTATCCTTGCAACACTTCACATTTGACACCTTGGTATTTTATGAGGTCCTGTAATGTTATATGGTCAACATACATGAGACAGCAAGTGTTTGAACTTCTGGGAACGTTAAGTTCTGGATTTAGTTCAGGGTCACAAACTATTAAAGGAAAGTGTCTGGGTATACCAATCTCTGTTATCTTAATGAGAACAAAGAAGCCTGACATAAACTTTTCACCAATGGGTTCCTTTTGGTCGTCATCGAATAAATGTCTCATGAGATACTCTGTGCTTAACATCTCATCCTTCAATACTTTTGGAATTCCTTCTAAAGTATACAATCTTGCTATAGCGGATGGATATAATGAAACAGCGTCGAAGTCAGCAATGAGTTTCTTTTTGCTCTTTTGTTTAATGTTATCTGACAACATACATCTTCCACCTTGAATGCATCTCGAAATAAATTCTCTTGGTTTATTTGAGAGGTCATAAAGATTTCCATTCGGGAAATATACTCTGTTCTCAAACAATTTGTTAGCAATAGAACAAATACTAACGTAGTCATAAATGTTTAAATCAAACTCTTTCAATAAGTCATTGCGGAACTTTACAAAACCTTCTCTTAAAATTCTTACATCTTGTTTGCAGTAAAACGTGCTATACTTTTCTAAGTCGAAGTGGTTTTCATCTATTCTGCAACCTTTGATGGAATCTATGTTCTTCATAAATGTATCTGCATCCTTGACAAACTTACAAGCTTCAGAAATGACACCAGTTCTGTTGTCATTTGCTAACAAAGTACTGCTGTAGTAGTTGTATGGAAATACTTCTTTCGGTCCTGTTTGTAAGTTAAACATAGCAGGAAATAGTTTAAGTTTCTTATTTATAACACTGTAAGAGTCTTTTATAATAATTGCCCGTCCTTTATATAAACCAGTTATTTGCATTGTTCGTGAACCTTTAATGATGGGAGTTCCTTTCACTTCTGTCATGTGTCTTAAGATGAAGTTTATGTCATAGCTGAGGTTATGGAAATATATTAAACTCTTGTCAGGAAGTCGTTCCAAAAATTCTGTTGCACAATTCTGACCCCAAATGCTTTGACTCACTGAACCATTTTCACTGTCGTAACAGATGTTAAACGCTTTATGAAAGCCGTCTGTGCTACACTCAAAGTCAGCAAAGAAAACGTGCTCAGGTATGAATTTACATTTAGCTTTATTTACTTCTTTTGACTCTGCTTTCTTCTTCAGTTGTACACAATACTTTGGAGCATATGTCAAATCTTTAAATGGTGCAAGGTTCTGTTTATATAAATCAGTCGTATATGTGAAAAGTTCTCCATAAGAAATAGGTTCGAAATATTTGCACTCCCACAATGTTTTCATAACATCCCATAACGGTGTTGTTCTATCATAACGAACTACATATTTATCTTCTCTCTTTGTATAAATCTTCATCTGTTTCTCAATGTTCATTCCACCACAAGCTTTGAGAATTTCTTTATAGTTGCGAATGAAGTATGTTGTCATTGGAAGTCTTTCATTTAGCATGTAGTGGTCTTCAACAAGAAGTAAGTCAATAGTTCGAACAGTTTCACATTCTTTTGGTATATATCTCTTTATTTCATTATGTCTTGAGTCATTGAAATAACCAATGGTAACATTGAATGCTATACCTGTTGAATCGGAAATTTCTTGTACTTTACTTTGGGGAAAGTCTCTAACACGAATGACTTCTCTCATGTGGTCAATAGTTTCTTCATCTACTCCAGCTTGAATGCAAGCATAAACGAAACAATTGTCTTCTGTCATAAGTGCTGCAGTTCTTTTGTTCAGTTCATTGAAGATTTGGTAGCGTTCAAGATTTATAGGTAACGTGCAAAGATACTTCCAGAACTGACCGCTTCTCTTCTTATAAAACTTCTTTTCACCATTATCTTTCCAAAAGCTTTCTATAAGTGCTGGGTTTCCTGTTTGCTTAAGAGCTTCCAAAATGGCTTTCTGGTCATTTGTCAGTGTGCTTTCATCTCTATATGGTTTCTTTTTTGGTTTGCCTTTCTTTACATCTGACATCGTTAAGCCTTCATATTCTGTTAAATCATACATCTTTATTTCGGTAAGATTCTTTATGTTTGTCAAGAAGAAGTCATAGTGCATTTCAACAATACCTGCGGCATTTGCTTCTATCTCTGATATAAAGTTCTCCTTCAAGAGCTGATGTAGTAATGTTCCAATATTATTGAGGTTTAACGTAGAACATTCATACTTTCCACCAAGTTTATAACATACCATCCATCTCTGTTGTGAGTTTATTTTAATTTTCTCTAAGAGTCTTATGAAAACCTTACCGAAATGTTTGTGTAAATATTCTCTGTTTGGTTCATCTAAAGCTTCGATGTTAAAGTCAATGAGTCTATTGCCTGACTTCACATTTCTCTTCCTATTCTCTTCATCTTTCTTTAACCATCTCTCACCTTCTTTTGGTTTGTCGTCAATGGAACGAATGACATCATTAGCTTTGCGAACTTGTTCTATAGCACTTTTAAACATCTCTCTTCTCTGTTGTTTCAGTGTGTCGTCTCTTCTTCTTGTTTCACCAACGTTTGCATTTGTTATGTCAAACATTTCACGCCTTACTTCATGTGGTACTGAACGTCTATGATATAAGTCAATAGCAACGTCATTTAAAGGAAATGTTCTTGCATGGACTTCGTCCTCGCCGCGTTGCGACTTTATGAACTCATGAATTCTATCATAAGTTATTTCACCATTGTAGTCTTTAATGAAGTCGGCGAGTGATTTTTTGTTTGTCGCGTAATGTTTTGCAACATCTATGTTAGCTTCTGTAAGAAGTTGTTTTATTTCCGAGTGTTCTAACTTAGACAACTTCCGATACATCTTTAGTAGGAAATAAAAAAATATTTTTTAAAAAATTAGATTACATTTTTAAGTTATTTTTCAAAATAATTTAATATTTTTATTTTAATGAAACACATGCAAGATTGCAAGTTCTTTTCATACAATGCTCTCGCTAATGCCATCAAGAATGAGTTCAATGGTGCTGCAAACGTTAATGTTATCTTTAACAAGAAGTTTGTGAAAGAATCTAAGTTTGGTCAGTATGTCAGACCATTAGCTATTGTCATTGACCGCAAACGTTATACTTCACAAGAGTTAGCAGTTGTGTTGAAACAAAAGGGTTTCTTTGTGAATGTAAAAGATACTCATTATACTGTTATAAAGAACTCCAACATTGACTTCTTCAGTATTGCTTTAAATCTTTCCGAACAGAAAGAATATAAGAAGTGTGAAACATCTGTGAAATATTATCCTTCATCTCTGAAGACAATAACGAACAAAGATGTCATACAAAAATTCTTACCAAAAGTTGAAGAAGCTTCAATTGACATTAACGAAGGAAGTGAAATGGTTGAAGAAATTGACCCTGACGTTATTTGAACAAAAATATATTTTTGGTTAGTCTTCATATCGATATTTTACAACAATTCCCCAATGTATAAACTTTTCATACGCTTTTTCATAAGCTTTATATACCTTCAGAAATTTTGCATAATCTTTAGAAGCATTTAGATATTGTTTAAATGCTTTGTATGTCTTCAAAAATTTTGCATAATCTTTTACATGTTGTTCGTTCTCTTCTTCTGTTAAGAGTTCTGAATATTCTAAATTCATGTTCTTTCATATGAGTTGAGTTCGAATATCTATACTTAAACTCAACTCCTGGAGTACCTGGTGTTTCAATGATGCGGATGTTACCTATTTTCATGAATAGTGGAGTTTGACCACAGCATTCGATTTCAGGGTCGAGATAGTCAATGACACATTGCTTTCCTGTTATTCGTGATATAATATTTTCAAGGTCCTCCTTTGTTAGAATTATTTGGTTCTTACTTATAAGATTTGTCAAAAGCTTCTTATCGTCTTTGAGTAAAATTGTTTGGTATAACTGAAGAAGGTAATGGTCTACGTTATCTGAAGGATTTGTTTGAACATTTGTGTAAGGGTTGTCGTTGGCTTCTCTTGAAAGAACTTGGTCCAGTGGTGGATACTCTAACTTAACATCTGATGTAGCGTTAGCGTTTGAAGCTGTGTTTAAATTCACCGACTTAAGTTCTGGTTCTTTTTCTTTCAAACACTCTGAACTATAGTTCTTTATGACAATATTGTTTGTCGTTCGTGAGTCAACATTTGATGTTGGTTCAATTGGAACATTAACGGCACCAGCTAAGATGGATTTGCTTCTCATTTCATATAGAATAAAAACCTTTTATATGTATGAAATGAACAATATACTCGACAAGGGTTTGAATGTAAAGCTAACGAATGAAAATATTGTTGAATTCACTGAGACAGGTGCTGTGTATAAAGATGTAGAACTACTGAACAAAAGAGCTAAGGGAAGAAGCAGGAACATGAACAAAGGGTGGAAGCCTATAAAAATTTATGTCAATGATGGCTCAGGAGGTTCAAACATAAAGTATGCAGAAAGTTATAGAGTTTATGCTCTCAAAGGTGAAAAGCCTTCATTTAAGAACAGCTATTCTAACGCATATCCTCAAAAGCTAACGGATGGAGAAGTGGATGATATGAATGACAGCAAAAATATTAACAGAAATGGCGACAGAGATGCATGGAATTTGTTTACCATCAGTCAATTGAAGGTTAAGATTTAAAACAATGTTGGTCGTTCCCATGGAATATTTTTGACTTTAATGGTATTAGTCATGATATGAATCTCAAGGTATGAACGAGGAGAGATGAGAGACTTATATGCTTCCCATATCTCTTCAAAAGGTAATGTTATACCTGACTGTTTCCAAATGAGTTCAATATCATAACGTGAGAAACCTTGAAAGATAACGAAGTCAGTTATGAGACGTTTTATGTTTAAAGCTAAAAACCTCCATGTTTGCATAAGTATTGCTACAGTTAAATGGTAATGTCTGACTTTAGTTATGATGTTAGCTAATGGTGAGTCTGGTTTTGACACTAAACCTTTTCCGGCGAAGTCGTCACAAACGAGCAGAGTGTTTGAAGGATACTTTTTGAAGGGGTATTTTGAAAGTTTTGATAGAATGTAGTTTGTCAGTCGTTTCATATCGTAAACTCCTGAGTATTGACGTAAGTGGTGTTTGTCAATAATTCTTTCCATCTCTTCTGAAGTCTTTTGCATTCCTGACTGTATAAACTCTACGATAGCATAATATTTTCTCTTACGTCGAATGTAACGTTGAAGAAATTCAATGAGTTCACTGTCTGGAACTTTAACGACAGACGCTTGAACTTTACTCATGAATGTTTTCGCTGTTGAGTCCATAGAGTCTGAAGTTGCTGATATAATGATTTGGTCATAATATGAATCTTGACCTAAACGCTCTGTTATGAGTATATGACGAATGAGGTTAAATGTCTTACCTGAACCCATCTTTCCACAATAGAAATACACGCCATTTGAACAGAATTCATAATCTTTGCTGAAAGGAAGAATGAGAGAAGAGTTAAGTTTGTCTGTAGTTTCATTCATGTCTTCATCTACATCATGTATTAAATGCTTCATTTTATCTCCATTAAAAATGCAAGTCAGAAATATTCAGAACATAGCACCGAGTCTAACTGACAAGAGTATAAAGATATACTATGAACACGTTATGATGAAACCAACCAAAATTCAAGAAAGTCAGTATACTTATGAATATCCAAGACACTGGGTAGAGTATGTAGGAGGTGAGAAAGCTATTGAAATCAGACAGGTTCGAAGTATTCCAGCAGGAAGAACAATATTATTGAAGAACTTTAATGTTTTGAGATATAATGATGAAACAAAGAAGCAAGATAGTTTCCCTGTTGCTGTGTATGTGAACCTAGACACAGGAGATGACATGAAAGTTTTTAACACAAAGCTTCAAACGGTATTGAAAGAACAACTTATAGCAGAAGGACACCCATTACCTTCTGAAGTTACCATAGCATATAATTTTGAAACAAATGCAATAGATTTTAAAATTGTCTCTGCAAAGAAGTCAGGTTTTACATTTAATGAAGCAGATGTATATTCGAATGAAAACTTCAAAGCTATTGCATGGTTAGATAATGACGATTGCTTTAAGAAAATATTTAAATTCAGTGACTCAAAGATGTCAATAGATGACCTTCGTGGAATGTTACCATCGACGTTTACAGTTGAAGGTTCAGCAGGATTGCTTACAAGATTGTCAATTGGTGGCGTTTGGTCTCGTGAGAACATTGTTATAAAATCCAGTATAAGTGAATTTGCTGAAGAATATATATTATGTTTTTCAAACTACATGTATTCGCCACCGAAGCATTATAGTATAACAAACTTCGTCAGTAAGTTTAACATAAGACTTGTCGAACCTTCTTCAATGAAAGATGTTGTGCTACCTAAAGATGGAAAGGATGGACTCATTATTGAAATGATTTTAATTGCATATTAAATGAGCTTGTTCATGAAAGTCATTCATGATGAAATAACTGTTGTAGAAGATGTTAGCAATTGTTCAGACATTTTGAAGCGTATAGATGATATAAGAAAGAAGTTAGATAGACCGCAAAGCGGTGAGGGCGAAGCCCGTGAGAACGTTTATGTTTCATTGACTTTCTCCAGTAACGAGAACTTTTATGAGATAATATTGAAGAGAGATGATTTTAATATGATGTAAATGGTAGATTGGGCAGCTTTAGGCGCAATGGGAACAAAAGCATTAGCATTTGGAGCAAAAGCACTTGGAGCTTATGACGCAGTAAATAAAATGAGTGGAGGAAGAGTTTCGAAGACATTAGACGCAAATAAAGGAAAGATAGGAGGCTGGGTTGCAAAGAAGTTAAGATTAAATAAAATAGGGCTCATAAATAAAGCATCCAATTTGGTTGCGACTGAGTCGGAAAATGCTTTAGGAAAGGACGATGAGTTTGCAAAACACGCAAAAGACTTTAATGACCAGATGAAAGGTGAAACAATGCATTTAAATAGAGTCGATGGAACTAAAGAAAATGTTTCTTCTCCACAACTTCCACCAGCAGTTCTTCCGTATGGTCCCTATGGAATGTATGTAAACCCTTATGAACGACCATTTGACACATTGACTGGTGGAAGTAATTGGTATCATTATGGACGAAGAAGAAAGACAGTCAAGTTGGAGACAGACGTGAAGAAAGCAACTAAAAAGAAACCAAGGAAGAGAGTTATAAAGCAATGAATTCAAGTGGGTGAAAAACCGGGTGAAAAAAGAGGTGAGATTTCACCACTTCACCTTAATTTATTTTTTCACCTCTGACAACGTTTATTTTTATTTTATTTTATTATTTAGTGAGTTAGAAGAGAGTTATAAAGCAATGAATTCAAGTGGGTGAAAAACCGGGTGAAAAAAGAGGTGAGATTTCACCACTTCACCTTAATTTATTTTGTGCTATGTTTTCATACGCGTGAAGGTAGTGATATCATTTATTTTTTATTTTATTTTATTAAAATTATTTTTATTTTATTTTTATGTAAATGACGAAAACTATCGAGATAACAAACTACAACGGTCATGAGTTCAAGAACTTGTTCTTCGTTCCTCGTGAAAATACATTCTATCAGATACGAGGGAGAAAGGGTAAAGTTAATTTGAGCGTTTATGAAGGAATGAAGAATGGAAAGTTTATACAAGCAATAGATACAAACGGTAAACGTGTTTCATTAGCTTTGTCAAAACTTACAGGTATAAACTATGACAGTGATTTTAACCTATATGAAGAAGAAAGTGAGTCAGAAGAATATGAACTATTGTGTGAAGCACAGCAATGGGAAGAGTTGCAATACTTTTGTAAGTGAGAACGTTTATTTTTACAGTAGTGAAGTCGTTTGTGAAAATGTTAGTGAGGTGAAGTGGTTGGCGGCTTTGTAAATATTTAAGGTTAAGTTAGTGTTGTCGTTTGTGTTGTAAAATATACGTTAACGGTTTTGTAAAGTGTCAAATTCACATATAATGGGTAAGGAGGCGCGCAGTGCCTCCGTACACTTGATATGTATACTAACTAAGAAGTCGCAATGCGGTGGGGCTGATGCCCATAAAACTAAAGTAATTGAAAACGATAAAGAGAAGAAGGAAATAATTGAAAAGTTAGAAACTTACCGTTCAATCCTTAAACTGAGTGAAGCAAAAATAAAAGAATTTAATAGAATAAATAAATTGCTTGGAAGAGATGAATTTAATAAAGATGAATTTTTAAACTCTATCCAAATTTAATTTTTTCTTAGTGTCACCACGTCACCATGTCACCAGGTTAATTAACTTCTTTTAAAAAGTGTGACAACATGACATTTTGACAACAGTCCAGGAAATAAATTTTATCGTCAATGTTTACGTTAATGTTTTCATAAATGTTTTCATTAATTTTTTTAGTGTCACCACGTCACCATGTCACCAGGTTAATTAACTTCTTTTAAAAAGTGTGACAACATGACATTTTGACAACAGTCCAGGAAATAAATTTTATCGTCAATGTTTACGTTAATGTTTTCATAAATGTTTTCATTAATTTTTTTAGTGTCACCACGTCACCATGTCACCAGGTTAATTAACTTCTTTTAAAAAGTGTGACAACATGACATTTTGACAACAGTCCAGGAAATTTGATGCAGCCCAAAAATAAAGTTAGTTTTAAAATTATTTTTATTTTTTTATTCCTATATAAATGACAGCAACAAACAACAACAGCAACTTTATCGTTTCTGATGAAAATATCATTGATTCATTAGCTGAGGAATTAGTTACGGCAGAAACTAAAACCCTCAACGAAAGAATTGGTGAAAACAAGATTGATTTACATAACTACCTCAAACACGATGGAGGAAGAGGAAGGAAAACTGGTATGGTTTTATTAGTAAATAAAATATCAAATTTAACGATTATAGATGTTGATATCAATAAATCGTACAATAATGAACTTAAAGAAACAGTTAGAAAAGACATTCTATCAAAACTTTCGGATAAAGATGTTATCGTTAAAACCGCTTCAGGAGGTCTTCACATTTATTGCAACACTAATTTCTTTTATGCAGTTTCGAACAGAATGATTAAATGTTATTCATGTAATGATTATGATATCGATATCATGACTTCTATTGATGATTCAAAACGTTCATTAGTGGTTATGGCTGATTCAAGAGTTCGAAAGAATGCAACAGAACCAATCAATACATACTCATTCATTCGTGGAAGTTATGATTCAACATTAACTAGAACAGTGAATGATATATTAAATGATTTGAATATTAAGGTAAGAGTTGAACAAAAGAACGAAGAAATAAAGACTATCATGAATGAAAACAAAGATGTAAACATTGACGATAAACTTGCCCAGAGCATAGTCGATGGTATTAGTGATTTTGAAGTACATAATGACGGTGGAAACATGAATTTAGAAAAAGAAGTTACATTATTCACACTGTTTCAAGCAATTAATTTGTTACCTAATCATTTAATTAATGAAGCCTACGATAACGTTTATAACTTCTGCAGTTTAACAGAAAATGCAAAAAGTAATTTTGAAAAAGCACGTAGTAGATATGCACATTTAATGACTTCTCCATTTGTTTTAGTGAAGATTCTGAAACTATATCAAAAAGAATATTATAATGAAAACGTTTTACCTTTATTACGTAAGCCAAAAATAACATTTGATATAAAACTTGATGATTCATTCTTGATAACAGATATTAGACGCAAGGCTGAAAATCATCAGTATAAAAACAGTTCTGAAGTAATTGAGGATTTATCACGTGTAATCCGTTTTGTAGATTGTGGAAATAAATATTTCATTCAGAAAGATTACAACATACACGACAAAATGAATCAAATATCATTCGTTCTTCAATCAAACATGAAAGAGTCACTCAAAATGATTAAATTATTTAAAGAAGAAGGTAAAACCATAACAGCATGGGACGTACTATTAAATCAATTGTCTTCATTAACCGTTAAGGGTGTTTGCTTTAAATCTGATTCCCCAGATGTTTTCTCAACGTTTCAGGGTTATAAATACAACATTCTTGAAAAGCCTGATTACTCAAAAATTGAAATGTTTATGAATTTCATTAAAGAAGCCATTTGTGATAATAATGATGAAGTGTATAAATACCTTCTCGGCTGGATTGCATCAATGATTCAACATCCTGGAATCAAGAATGAAACAGCAATTATTTTGAAAGGACTTCAGGGAACAGGTAAAAACAGATTTACAGACATTATTTCTGAACTCCTCGCTGGTTATTCATGTAAAAACATTACTGAAATAAGTGAGCTAACGGGTAATTTCAATTCAGTAGTTGAGAATAAAATGTTTCTTGTACTTAATGAACTCAAGAATGTTGGTGAAGATAGACTCGCAAACTTCAACGCTTTGAAATCAATTATAACGGATAATGAGATTAGAATTAATGAAAAGAATCAACCCAGAAGAACTGCTCAGAATGTTGCCAATTTCATTTTGGTAACTAATAACGTTTACCCTGTCAAAATTGAAGTTGGAGACAGAAGATACGTAGTTTTAAGGGTTAATGGTAAATTCAAGGGTCAATTTGATTACTTCAAGAATTTGATGAATTCATGCACAAAGGAATTTTATGATAATTTACTGACGTATTTTATGCAATATGACCTTTCATCATTTAATGTACGAATCATACCGATGACTGAAGCCAAACAAGATTTAATAGAATTATCAACAAATCCTTTAGATGAATGGATAAATACACATTATGATGAATTGTGTGCAGGTATGACGTGTAAAAATGCTCTATTCTGCAAACCATCAGACATGAAAGACAAAAACTTTCAAATGAGCATTAAGGATAAATGTGAAAGGAAACAGAGAAGAATAGATGGTAAACAGACGTGGTGTTATGTTTTGAAAGAAGAAATGAAAGGATTATATAAACAGGTTGAACCAAACGATAATGAGGATTCATTTACTGATGATGAAATACCCGTAAATGAGCCGCTAAGCGGCGAGACCTGAAGGTCTAGCAGTATAAAGTATGATTTGAATTTATTTTTGCATTAATCCTGCTGTGTTGTCAAAATGTCATGTTGTCACACTTTTTAAAAGAAGTTAATTAACCTGGTGACATGGTGACGTGGTGACATGGTGACCTGGTGACACCTTCAGTTATTCAAAAATAATTCATAAATAAAATTTCTTTTATATTTGATATCACTGCACCACCTTTGCAAACGAATTCGAAATGGTCATTTTATTAAGTTCATCTTTAGTTAATTTGAATGGATTCGCTAATGTTCCACCTTGAGCCACAACACTCGCCCCGGCTAATTGTGAAGAACCTGGGATAAGTACTCCATGAAATGATTTCATTGGTATCATTAATTTTAACTTCGGATCAAATATTGGGTTTCCATCTTTATCTCTTCCAATAACACCATATGGTAGAATCTTCATTTATACTAAAATAAAAATTTAAATTATGCCGTTCTAAAGTTTGTGAAACAAACATTGAGCGTTCATTGAACGCGGTGCCACGCATAAACTGTAATATACGGTGGCATATAATCTTCACCCGAACCTGTTGAATTTGTTGTGAAAGTGTGTGAATGATTTCCTCCTGGTTCAGTTGGTCGAAAAGTCTTTTTTGCTGAATGGTTATAAGATGGAGATAAAACGTCATAGCCAGCTTCATAGTCTGAGTTGTATAATGGGTGGTCTCTTAATGAGTGGATATGGTCGCCAGAAAAGTTTGTAGTTCCTGTATGAGTGTGCGGTGGAAGGTTTGCTTCTTTAATTTTCTTCGAACCTCCTGTTTGCTTTGAATATCTAGCACAGTATAAGAATTTATCTACAATCTGCTTCCACGTGTGATAAATAAATATGTCTGTTATAACTTACAGGATATGAATATACCATACCACCTGAAACAAGAACACAAACATTTGAAGCATAACATAAAGCTTCAATGTCTCCATCAGCTTGAAAAATTTGTTCAAAACGACCAAATGGTATTGAATATGATCTATAAATTTTATCATTTTGTAGGATAAAATACATGCTGTTAATGTAATACCATTTACTTGTATAATCAATTTTCAAATCTGATGACATCATACTAAACATATAATAATTTATCCCATCCTCACTAATGAAAATTTGATTGGCTTCATAAATTAGTACCCATTTATTATTAACACATCTAATAGGTTTATTTGGATATTTAAATTTAGCATCTTGATTTAAATTACATTTGAACCATTGGATACAATCGAATGAATAACAAGGGCAAAAATCATCTCCAACCGTTATCATTCCCATAAATTTACCGTTATTATATTCAACATATAAAATTCTTGGATTAATGATTGGCTTTCGTGTATCAGGATTCAAAACAGATGGAGTAAATGATTCATAGTTTTTAAAATCATTTGTTTTAAAATAATAAAGCACGCCAGCTGTATAAAATAAATACGTGGTCACTCCATCGAAACATAACCATTCAATAGATTGAAATGTTTTATCTGATGATTTCATAAAATTTAAAAATGGTGGAGTAAAATAGACCTCTGATTGTTTTATTTCTTCATTAACAAATGATATATCAGCTTTCTTCATTAATTCAGTATTAATGAATGAAATAACTTTTTCCTTATCTGCTTTCTTCTTTAACTCATTGTTAACATATGTTTTATCTGCTTTCTTCTCTAATTCATCATTAACATAAGTTTTATCCGCTTTAAGGTCTAAACATCCTGAAACCCATTCTGTATCAGCTTTAACTTTAAAAGTCTCCGATGTCCATTCATGATACCCTTCAACCTTTTCTTTAATTTCATTATCTTTTTCATTAACATAAACCAAATTTGCCTTCTTATTTAATTTCCAGTCAACATAACTTTTAAATGCTTTTTGATTAATTACTCTTGAATTTTCATTAACTCTGAAATTTAAATTATCATAATTACTTTTAACTGTTGCATTTGTTTGATTACCCAGATTTTCCTTACTTTTACCACTCCCCATGTAATTTCTGGGGAAAATGATAATTCATTTTTTTATGGATGAATAGATCGTTTTCCTAGAAAGGACCCCATATCTCTGGCTAAAAAGAGTGTCAGATCCTAAATAGGTTATTGATCTAGTGTACAAATCCAATAAAAAGCCTATTTTTTTGGCTTTTTTGGTGCCCATTTTTTCGAAGATCTACATGAATATGAGGAAACCATCGGATTTTTTTGGTTAACCCACATCTTCATGTAGTCTGGACTATCTTTCCTCGAAGGACCTCTTTACGGGTGTAAAAACTCATAAAGTTCTCAAAAGATTCATTCTCGATCTCCATGCTGAAAGAATTTACAATAAAAAAGAGATCTACGCATCAAACTACAGCCATAAATGAACTGAACCCCTAAAGCTCAGCTCTTAGTTTATCAAAAACGTCGAAATCCTTCTCATTGCAATCAAATTTTCTCAATAACTCATAAGAAAAATCGAATTTTGATTAAGCCGATGTTATAGGTATCACAAATACTACAAACTTGAGCAATATCGAAATTGCCAGCAAAAGTTGAAATTGCATTGCTCATATTTGTTTTGTAAACTAAAAATCTGCTTATATTATTCATTAATTTTTTATATATTATTCATATACTTTAATAAAAACAATACTATTTCACCTTAAAAATGAATTTCATAAGTCAATATTATTTTTTTGAAAATGTATCAATTTTCGATTAAAACAACATGAGAATAAAATTTACGCAAAATTATTTTAAAAAATGGTTTTAAAAATTTACAATTGATTAAGAATAAGATTGCAAGAAGTTTTGAAGTTTAATTTTAAGAAAAAAAATTCGGATATTATTCATGGATCTAAGTAATCTGATATTTGAGTATCGGCACTATGCATAAAACATATATTTATAGTTTTTTTGGATTTTTATGATTTTAAATATATTCAAATTTGGCAATCCAATAGATTTTTAAAAAATAGGTAAATAAAAATAGATTACATATGCAGCAGATTTAGAACATGAAACAAATCTTATAGTGACCCAAAAAAAATTCATGATCCAAAAAAGAAAAAAATTGGTTAAATGGAAATCAAACCTTGGCATAATGAATCATTATGTCGGATGTTTCCACTACACCGGCAGTTCGAAAAATACCCTTGGTGGTTCTATTTAATAGCTACTCCCAACGATAGGCGGTGTCCCCAGCTTTAGAGGGGTGGTAAAAGTAAGGAAAATCTGGGTAATTCTGTTATTTAATTCATCGAATTGAACATGTGTATGATCAACATCCGCTTTCTTCATTAATTCAGTATTAATGTATTCCTTATCCGCTTTCTTCATTAATTCAGTATTAACGTAAGTTGGTATGTGTTAGTTGTGTACTGAGGCACTGCGCGCCTCCTTACCCATTATATGTGAATTTGACACTTTACAAAACCGTTAACGTATATTTTACAACACAAACGACAACACTAACTTAACCTTAAATATTTACAAAGCCGCCAACCACTTCACCTCACTAACATTTTCACAAACGACTTCACTACTGTAAAAATAAACGTTCTCACTTACAAAAGTATTGCAACTCTTCCCATTGCTGTGCTTCACACAATAGTTCATATTCTTCAGTATCGCTGCTGTCGCTCCAATCGTCAGAGTCAAAGTCACTGTCAAAATAAATGTTAGTAAGTTTTGACAAAGCTAATGAAACACGTTTACCGTTTGTATCTATTGCTTGTATAAACTTTCCATTCTTCATTCCTTCATAAACGCTCAAACTAACTTTACCCTTTCTCCCTCGTATCTGATAGAATGTATTTTCACGAGGAACGAAGAACAAATTCTTGAACTCATGACCGTTGTAGTTTGTTATCTCAATAGTTTTCGTCATTTATATAAAAATAAACTTAAAAATAATGATATCACCACTCCCACACGTATGAAAACATAGCACAAAAATAAATTTAGGTGAAGTGGTGAAATCTCACCTCTTTTTTCACCCGGTTTTTCACCCACTTGAATTCATTGCTTTATAACTCTCTTCCTTGGTTTCTTTTTAGTTGCTTTCTTCACGTCTGTCTCCAACTTGACTGTCTTTCTTCTTCGTCCATAATGATACCAATTACTTCCACCAGTCAATGTGTCAAATGGTCGTTCATAAGGGTTTACATACATTCCATAGGGACCATACGGAAGAACTGCTGGTGGAAGTTGTGGAGAAGAAACATTTTCTTTAGTTCCATCGACTCTATTTAAATGCATTGTTTCACCTTTCATCTGGTCATTAAAGTCTTTTGCGTGTTTTGCAAACTCATCGTCCTTTCCTAAAGCATTTTCCGACTCAGTCGCAACCAAATTGGATGCTTTATTTATGAGCCCTATTTTATTTAATCTTAACTTCTTTGCAACCCAGCCTCCTATCTTTCCTTTATTTGCGTCTAATGTCTTCGAAACTCTTCCTCCACTCATTTTATTTACTGCGTCATAAGCTCCAAGTGCTTTTGCTCCAAATGCTAATGCTTTTGTTCCCATTGCGCTAAAGCTGCCCAATCTACCATTTACATCATATTAAAATCATCTCTCTTCAATATTATCTCATAAAAGTTCTCGTTACTGGAGAAAGTCAATGAAACATAAACGTTCTCACGGGCTTCGCCTCACCGCTTTGCGGTCTATCTAACTTCTTTCTTATATCATCTATACGCTTCAAAATGTCTGAACAATTGCTAACATCTTCTACAACAGTTATTTCATCATGAATGACTTTCATGAACAAGCTCATTTAATATGCAATTAAAATCATTTCAATAATGAGTCCATCCTTTCCATCTTTAGGTAGCACAACATCTTTCATTGAAGAAGGTTCGACAAGTCTTATGTTAAACTTACTGACGAAGTTTGTTATACTATAATGCTTCGGTGGCGAATACATGTAGTTTGAAAAACATAATATATATTCTTCAGCAAATTCACTTATACTGGATTTTATAACAATGTTCTCACGAGACCAAACGCCACCAATTGACAATCTTGTAAGCAATCCTGCTGAACCTTCAACTGTAAACGTCGATGGTAACATTCCACGAAGGTCATCTATTGACATCTTTGAGTCACTGAATTTAAATATTTTCTTAAAGCAATCGTCATTATCTAACCATGCAATAGCTTTGAAGTTTTCATTCGAATATACATCTGCTTCATTAAATGTAAAACCTGACTTCTTTGCAGAGACAATTTTAAAATCTATTGCATTTGTTTCAAAATTATATGCTATGGTAACTTCAGAAGGTAATGGGTGTCCTTCTGCTATAAGTTGTTCTTTCAATACCGTTTGAAGCTTTGTTTAAAAACTTTCTGTCATCTCCTGTGTCTAGGTTCACATACACAGCAACAGGGAAACTATCTTGCTTCTTTGTTTCATCATTATATCTCAAAACATTAAAGTTCTTCAATAATATTGTTCTTCCTGCTGGAATACTTCGAACCTGTCTGATTTCAATAGCTTTCTCACCTCCTACATACTCTACCCAGTGTCTTGGATATTCATAAGTTACTGACTTTCTTGAATTTGGTTGGTTTCATCATAACGTTTCATAGTATATCTTTATACTCTTGTCAGTTAGACTCGGTGCTATGTTCTGAATATTTCTGACTTGCATTTTTAATGGAGATAAAATGAAGCATTTAATACATGATGTAGATGAAGACATGAATGAAACTACAGACAAACTTAACTCTTCTCTCATTCTTCCTTTCAGCAAAGATTATGAATTCTGTTCAAATGGCGTGTATTTCTATTGTGGAAAGATGGGTTCAGGTAAGACATTTAACCTCATTCGTCATATACTCATAACAGAGCGTTTAGGTCAAGATTCATATTATGACCAAATCATTATATCAGCAACTTCAGACTCTATGGACTCAACAGCGAAAACATTCATGAGTAAAGTTCAAGCGTCTGTCGTTAAAGTTCCAGACAGTGAACTCATTGAATTTCTTCAACGTTACATTCGACGTAAGAGAAAATATTATGCTATCGTAGAGTTTATACAGTCAGGAATGCAAAAGACTTCAGAAGAGATGGAAAGAATTATTGACAAACACCACTTACGTCAATACTCAGGAGTTTACGATATGAAACGACTGACAAACTACATTCTATCAAAACTTTCAAAATACCCCTTCAAAAAGTATCCTTCAAACACTCTGCTCGTTTGTGACGACTTCGCCGGAAAAGGTTTAGTGTCAAAGCCTGACTCACCATTAGCTAACATCATAACTAAAGTCAGACATTACCACTTAACTGTAGCAATACTTATGCAAACATGGAGGTTTTTAGCTTTAAACATAAAACGTCTCATAACTGACTTCGTTATCTTTCAAGGTTTCTCACGTTATGATATTGAACTCATTTGGAAACAGTCAGGTATAACATTACCTTTTGAAGAGATATGGGAAGCATATAAGTCTCTCATCTCTCCTCGTTCATACCTTGAGATTCATATCATGACTAATACCATTAAAGTCAAAAATATTCCATGGGAACGACCAACATTGTTTTAAATCTTAACCTTCAATTGACTGAAGGTAAACAAATTCCATGCATCTCTGTCGCCATTTCTGTTAATATTTTTGCTGTCATTCATATCATCCACTTCCCCATCCGTTAACTTTTGAGGATATGGGTTAGAATAGCTGTTCTTAAATGAAGGCTTTTCACCTTTGAGAGCATAAACTCTATAACTTTCTGCATACTTTATGTTTGAACCTCCTGAGCCATCATTGACATAAATTTTTATAGGTTTCCACCCTTTGTTCATGTTTCTGCTTCTTCCCTTAGCTCTTTTGTTCAGAAGTTCTACATCTTTATACACAGCTCCTGTCTCAGTGAATTCAACAATATTTTCATTCGTTAGCTTTACATTCAAACCCTTGTCGAGTATATTGTTCATTTCATACATATAAAAGGTTTTTATTCTATATGAAATGAGAAGCAAATCCATCTTAGCTGGTGCCGTTAATGTTCCAATTGAACCAACATCAAATGTTGACTCACGAACGACAAACAATATTGTCATAAAGAACTATAGTTCAGAGTGTTTGAAAGAAAAAGAACCAGAACTTAAGTCGGTGAATTTAAACACAGCTTCAAACGCTAACGCTACATCAATGTTAAGTTAGAGTATCCACCACTGGACCAAGTTCTTTCAAGAGAAGCCAACGACAACCCTTACACAAATTTCAAACAAATCCTTCAGATAACGTAGACCATTACCTTCTTCAGTTATACCAAACAATTTTACTCAAAGACGATAAGAAGCTTTGACAAATCTTATAAGTAAGAACCAAATAATTCTAACAAAGGAGGACCTTGAAAATGTTATATCACGAATAACAGGGAAACAATGTGTCATTGACTATCTCGACCCTGAAATCGAATGCTGTGGTCAAACTCCACTATTCATGAAAATAGGTAACATCCGCATCATTGAAACACCAGGAACTACAGGAGTTGAGTTTAAGTATAAATATTCGAACGAGTATACAAAACTATCTACTGACTATAAGCTTTGTTTGAAATATGTTTTAGTAAATTAAAGCAGTCAGGACCTTCGGTCTTGGCGCTTTGCGCCGTCAGTCAAAAAATTTCAAGTTAGCAATTTGTAATATCTATCCAAAACTTCTTCAACAGTATCGAACTCATCTTCATAATGCAAACCTAATCTTATTGACTTGGTGCAGTTTTCACTAACACAATATTTTTCTGTTCTCTTGACTGACATAACTAACTCATTTGTTTCATCAAACAGCAACAACCAAAGTTCATGACCTAATACATAACATTCATACTTTATATTTTTAGCTCTGAGTTCTCTTGTAAGCTGTTGCATTTAATATTTTCTAAAAAGTCAACTTCAACAGTCATTCGCACTGGTGCCTTCAGTTCTACAGGCTCTCCTTGAAAGTCAACAAGTCTGAATTGCATGTCTTTCAAATTATGAGGACTAATGCGAACCCATTTACCTAAATGAGTTGCTATGACAGGAACGTTTGGAATGAACATTGAATTGACTGCATAACAGAAGGATTTATATTCTACTGAACCTTTACTATTAACACCTGAAATGCCTGTGACATTAGCTATTTTAGACTCAATGTATAAACAATTACCATAACATACGTATGGAACGGATTTCATCTCAATCGTTTTGTCAACACTTTTCAAAGGAAATGTCATATGGTATGCACCCAAAAGAAGTTGTACTCTATGACTCATTCTTGGTATCTTAAACTCTTTCTCGCTGCTGAACTTCAATGTTCCCTCAGAAGAGAGTTCGACATCTATGTTGTCAATAGTTTCTTCATTTATGAGAGTATCTATGACTCCAGCAATTTTATCTATTCTATACCCAGCTCTATTAGGAAATGTTATAACACTTCTTTTGTCATCTATTTCAATCTCTATGAAATCTGTTTCATCTGTTATGACAAAAGTTGCGATAGTATTGAAGTCAACAACTCTGAAAGCAAGCGCTTCATTCTGAAGACCTAAGTTTGTTTGTAGCTTTACTGTCCCGTATTCGTTTGGGTCTGTACTTTGCAAATAGAACAACATTTTATTCTCATTAAAATATGACTATTGCTGCATATGCGTATGAAACAAATGAAGCAAGAAGAGCACATGAATTAGTAAACGAAAACTCAACTTTAACCATTGAAGGCAATGATTTAGTCATTGACGATGGAAAAACTAAAAAAGTCATTGATTTCGATACTTTTAACACTTATGACCCATTCATTACAACAAGCAAGGTTCCCATCATAAATGATGGAACGGTGCAATATATAAATTCAACAGTAGATGCCTCATTAGTGAAAGAACTGAATGTTCTCATTGAATTGTTAAAGAGCTTTCGATTTGACGACAACATTAAATGCCTAAAGAATTTAGTCATGAATGAGAAACAAATTCTCGGCGTTGCTGGTAGCAGTAATGATGTACACCTTATGACATTAGAATATTATAACGAACATAAAGATGAACTGAAAGGAGAGAAGGGTGACACCGGACCACAAGGAATACAAGGAATACAAGGACCATAAGGAATACAAGGAATACAAGGACCTCAAGGCGAAAACGGTTTGGATGGTGAAGATGGAAAGGATGGAAAAACTGCTAAATCATGGATATGGAACCTTATAAATACTGGTTTAACAGCTGCTTCATATGGAGTTCTTCAATACCAAATCGGAAAGATATGGGCAGTACTTGGTGAAGAAGCTTTAGATGACGTTAAAAATGCTTTGAACTTCATTTCAAATGGTTTGGATACTATTAAAACTTTATCTGGTTGGATGCAAGAAACAAGGAGTCAAATAGATACTGTAAGACGTATAGCAAACAATGCACGTACGGGATTGGATACTTTACGAGAAGCACAAAATACACTAAAGGAAGCAAATGATATTCTTGGCTCAGTATCAGACATGCATGAAGATTGGCTTAAAGGTATTGACAAATCTTTAAAAAATCACAGTCAGTCTATTGCTGACTACAAGAAAAGTATAGATTTTTTACATAGTGCTATGGACGTACATGATGGAAGCATAAGGAACTTACTTAATGCTAACAATAACTTACCAGGAACTATTAAAGCATTTATAAAGTCCTTTGTAAAACCTGGTGCTCTAACATTTAGGTCTTTGAGAGCAAGAGCATTGAAGTCAAGAGATGCAGAAACTCCAACAGAAACTCCAGAAGAACCACCAAAACCAACAGCTAATGAAATATTGTTCGAATATTTTCCAAGGTACTCTGTTCTCATTGCATACATTCAAGAAATACTTAAGAAAGCAGACTTGACTTTAGGAGATGATGAAAGTTCTGTATATCTTTCGTTCCAGTTTCAAATAGCAGAACTTTTGAGACAGATATGCTTAATGTATGACAACATCTCTGATTTCACAAGATATGATGACGACCATGACCCCGAACACGGTGAAGAAGAAGTTTTACAAACATCCAATAAGACAGGAAAGGTTTTAACTCAAAGTCTCATTATTGACACTAAAGATGGCGAAGTGGACGTTCTTCAAGAGCTGAAGAAAAAATACTTCTTCGGGAGGTGGTAGTAGGCATGAACTTGAAATAAATGAGATAGAAGAGAAATTAGCCGAAAAAGCAGATAAAAACCATGTTCATTATATAAGTTCAGACGAACAGATTATAACGGACTACCATGGATATTTAACACAGGATGAACAAATAAGCACTGAAGATGTTAATGAAAGAAGATATAAATACATTCGTGCTGAAGGTTACGACATACGCTGTACTGTACAGTATGACACAGGTAAAGCACCAGAAGCATTTGGTTATAACGATGAAATTTATGCTTCTAGTTTCTTTGTTAACGGTGTATTAGTTGAACCAAGATTTACATTGAGAGTTAAGGCAAGAATGAAGGTGGAAGATGCTATTAAAAGTAAAGCAGAGAAAGATGAACTTGACGCAACGAACAAAGTTTTGAAATCTCATAAACACAATATCTCCGATATAAATGAACTTCAAGCTACATTAAATAGTAAAGCTGACAAGAACCATACACATGAATCCTTCACTACTGTTAGAGCAGACGACATAATATTGAACTATACCCTTGGTTCAAGTGCACCTTTAGAGAATCCAAGTACAAGCGTAAAAGATACACTAAACTCCTTAAATAACAAATGTATAAATATCGAAGGTCATGCCAGAAACTTTGAAGCACATGAACTACCAGCAATGTTAGATAAGCAAGCAGACAAAAACCATACACACGAATTCTTCACAACTGTTGGTATAGAAAGTATTGAAGGAACGGTTGAAGGAACTGGTGGGGAGGGCGGAGCCCCGCCGCACGCGGCTGCATTATATTATAAACCTCCTAACTTTCCACAAGGTTTAACATCGAATGAAAACATAACAACGAAGAAAGAAATTAGATGTAAAAATGTTTATGTCATGAATGATGAAAATAACGTTAAATTCACTGCTCAAGATTTATATGATAAGAAAGCAGACAAAACAGAGCTTCAAAGATTAAAGACTGAAATACTTCAAACATTATATCCTGTTGGTTCTATTTATACGTCAATGAATTCAACAAATCCAGCAACAGTTTTAGGTTTTGGTACGTGGAAGCAGATTGTAGATAAATTCTTATACTGTGCTAGATATTCAAAGCAAACAGGAGGTTCGAAGAAAATTAAAGAAGCAAACCTTCCACCGCACACTCATACAGGAACTACAAACTTTTCTGGCGACCATAGCCACTCATTAAGAGACCACCCATTATACAACTCAGAATATGAAGCCGGCAATGACGTTTTATCTCCAGATTATAACCATTCAGCAAAAAAGACTTTTCGACCAACTGAACCAGGAGGAAATCATGTCCATACTTTCACAACAAATCCAACAGGCTCGGGTGAAGATTATATGCCACCATTTGTGACTATATTCGCATGGTATCGCGTTCAATGAAGAGAAAAAAACATAGCACACATTTGCACACATTTTGACACTTTTTCTGACAAGCATCATTCAAATTTGAAGAAAAACCTCTAAATTTCATTCAAATTTCTGTCAAAATGTGTGCAAAATTGAAATAGGCACACATTTTGACATACGATTATTTATATACGTTATTTTAATGGTTTCAGAGAAATCTTCGTTACACATTATTGAAGATTACTCAATATTTAAGTGAATGACTCACTACCACCTGTTTAGAAAAATGGTAGCATAAAATCCAAATGTCACATATATTATTTCTTATTTCATACAAATAAACTTACAATTATAACCTCAACTTGTTTGCAAAGCAGAAACTCAATATAAGCAATCGATCAGTAGTGTATTTAAAAGTCGAATTTAAATTTAAAAATTTATAATCTTATTTCGGAACCAAATAGTATAAATTTAGGACAAAAAGCTACGTGGTGTTGATAACAACTATTAAAATTCAAATATTACTACCATGAACAATACAATGGCTCATATTGATAATTGATAAACGTGCATATAAATTGCATATATCATCAATGTCATTAAGTAAAATACATGTATATAAATAGATTAGAAATATTTTTCGGTTAGAATTAAAATCTATGTAATAAAAAATAAGTTATAAAAATAAATACCGAATTTTTATTTGTAATATAAACTGCTACAATATGCTAGTGTATACAAATGTATTTGTCGTATTGATTTGAAAGATCTTCAACATGGTTCAGATCTAAATTTGAAACTCGTAAAATAAAGCGAATCTTTATTTGTAATATAAACTGCTACAATATGCTAGTGTATACAAATGTATTTGTCGTATTGATTTGAAAGATCTTCAACATGGTTCAGATCTAAATTTGAAACTCGTAAAATAAAGCGAATCTTTATTTGTAATATAAACTGCTACAATATGCTAGTGTATACAAATGTATTTGTCGTATTGATTTGAAAGATCTTCAACATGGTTCAGATCTAAATTTGAAACTCGTAAAATAAAGCGAATCTTTATTTGTAATATAAACTGCTACAATATGCTAGTGTGTACAAATGTGTTTGTACAAATGTATAACTCTTTGTCAATTGTTATGGCACCTTATAACTTAAAAATCATTTTCATTAACAAATATAAAAAGTGACAATTAATATTTTCATTAAATGCATATTTAATTATCAAAACAATGTCGATTTAGCTTGAATGTTCATTATAAATGTGTAAGTTTAGGAAAACAAAAAATAATTAATTCTCGCAAAGAAACTTATTTTAAAAGAACCTAAACAAAAGTTCATATAATAATAAATCTAAAAATAGATATTAATTTAAACGAAGATAATGAGAGAATGGGGATGTTGTAAAACAATGAGACTTAATGATCAAATAATTAAAATAATAAAATTAATTAAAGGAAAGCTAAAATAGTTTAATGAATTTTTATAGATTGATTACACAATCAATGTTTCTGTGTCAATGTACATCAATCAACATTTTTCATTGAATTTTGTCTTTCACCAAGAAGATTCAAGAACAAAGTTTTGTAGTTTCAATAGATTGATTACACAATCAATGTTTCTGTGTCAATGTACATCAATCAACATTTTTTCATTGAATTTTGTCTTTCACCAAGAAGATTCAAGAACAAAGTTTTGTAGTTTCAATAGATTGATTACACAATCAATGTTTCTGTGTCAATGTACATCAATCAACATTTTTTCATTGAATTTTGTCTTTCACCAAGAAGATTCAAGAACAAAGTTTTGTAGTTTCAATAGATTGATTACACAATCAATGTTTCTGTGTCAATGTACATCAATCAACATTTTTTCATTGAATTTTGTCTTTCACCAAGAAGATTCAAGAACAAAGTTTTGTAGTTTCAATAGATTGATTACACAATCAATGTTTCTGTGTCAATGTACATCAATCAACATTTTTTCATTGAATTTTGTCTTTCACCAAGAAGATTCAAGAACAAAGTTTTGTAGTTTCAATAGATTGATTACACAATCAATGTTTCTGTGTCAATGTACATCAATCAACATTTTTTCATTGAATTTTGTCTTTCACCAAGAAGATTCAAGAACAAGTTTTCCTCTTTTTCTTTTTTAAATGATTAAAATATTACCTTGCTTCAACTTTACACGTTTTCGTTTACTAAAATTATCTTTTACCTTCACTTATCTTATCATACCCAATTATTCATTTAATTCTATATTTTTCTGACCAAAAATCCTCTCAAATCTCCCTTCTTCTTTCAAAAATTCTATGAGTTTATTCAAATTTCCTTTAAATCTTTGCTAGTCCTTTTTTCTATAAAATTTTTGAAAAAAATTTAAAATTTGCTAAATATATTCTTTATTACTTTGCACTATTTTCCAATTGAAAAATCGTCGATTTTAATCAAATGTAAGATCATCATAATAAAAATTATGAAACTTACGAGAGAGGGTCAAAGTTGCTATTTGTCACTTTTCCACAAGAATATAATGGGGAAAAAGTTATCATATAGTTGATCTCATTGACTAAGGTGACAGATGCATGTAGTGTAATGGGATAAACAGTGGGATTGCTTATCTAAGTCCTAGGTTCGAGACACATTGGCTTCATTTTTCTCTTTTTTATTGACGTAAACTATTCAATTTTTGTGTTCTCCATTCAAATTTCAGAATTTTTTTTGCAGATTTCACGCTACATTCGAAGTTACCTTTTGTAACAACCACCACTGCCTACGAAAGACGAAAGTGTGTCACGATTTCACCCGGAAATCCGACGGTTGTTTAAGAGTATGCACTTTTGTCACCTACTCTGAAACTTACCGTGTTTATTAGTAAATTTCAATATGAAGTTGTTATACAAACAGCTGGGACTTTAAATTGAGAAATTGCATAATTCCATCTACAAATTTTGGTCTAGACAATAATCATTGATAAATTATAATATATCTATTATGTGTATTTACATTGCATATATAACAATTTCAATTTCTATATTAAATTGTTATTTGATATCAGCTATATTTGTTCAGGTAAAATGAAGTGTAAAAATATAATTCATGAATTACATATATATATATTATTTTTATTATTAAAATCAAATTCAGATTTATAAATTAAGGTTATTCATTTTTGATATGGTTATCACGCTCAAATATGAAAATAAAATTAAAAAAGTCAATACTCCTCAAGAAATACATTGTCTATCATTATATCTATATGCTTCCAAAGTATTTCATCTTAAACTAAAGACTTTTATATTACAAAAAGATTCAAAGAAGATACAATTGTTTAATTATGTTAAACATTATTCAGATATGACAATTGAAATAAAAGAGTCAAAAAAAGCCTCTAAACTATTTGACAATCCAATAATTTCTTCAACTAAACTATCAAATTTGGAGGATTTAATAAAATGTGGATATGATATGGATATTTCACAAATTGCATTGTTTTCAGCCAGAAATGACATTGATACTGCTATGAAAATACTGAACATGGATTCAATCGAAGAATATGGATATGAACTTAATTGCTTATTAAAACAAGTAAGAGAATTTAGAAGAAGTGATATAAAAGGTCAAATGATTGCAATAAGGACAGATAGCAATGGTAAAAAATACACAGAAGTATTAGCAGAAGGGATTTTTAAAGCAGATAGCGATGTTGAATCAAGTGATGATTCATATGATATCATTGAAGATGTAAAATCAGATAAAATTAAATCAGGAAACGCGCTTAATATTAATGATATAATTGGCAATAGGAATCCAAATATTAATGGAGAAACGATTAATAGCCATTCAAATATTAATCAAAACATTAATGAAAGAAATTTAAATATTAATGATGAAATTACTGATGGTCATCAAAATATTAATGGACGCATATTGAAACCAAAATCAAATAATAATAAATCTCGGCAAGCAATCCTCAAATTACCTCCTAATTTTATACAAGTAAATAGAGTAAACATCCAAGTTCCTCCAGCGCCAGCTCTTCCACAACAGAGACAACAACAATCTCTTCCAACTCAGGCTCTTCCTCAACAGAGACAACAACAATCTCTTCCAGCTCAGGCTCTTCCTCAACAGAGACAACAACAATCTCTTCCAGCTCAGGCTCTTCCTCAACAGAGACAACAACAATCTCTTCCAGCTCAGGCTCTTCCTCAACAGAGACAACAACAATCTCTTCCAGCTCAGGCTCTTCCTCAACAGAGACAACAACAATCTCTTCCAGCTCAGGCTCTTCCTCAACAGAGACAACAACAATCTCTTCCAGCTCAGGCTCTTCCTCAACAGAGACAACAACAATCTCTTCCAGCTCAGGCTCTTCCTCAACAGAGACAACAACAATCTCTTCCAACTCAGACTCTTCCTCAACAGAGACAACAACAATCTCTTCCAGCTCAGGCTCTTCCTCAACAGAGACAACAACAATCTCTTCCAGCTCAGGCTCTTCCTCAACAGAGACAACAACAATCTCTTCCAGCTCAGGCTCTTCCTCAACAGAGACAACAACAATCTCTTCCAGCTCAGGCTCTTCCTCAACAGAGACAACAACAATCTCTTCCAGCTCAGGCTCTTCCTCAACAGAGACAACAACAATCTCTTCCAGCTCAGGCTCTTCCTCAACAGAGACAACAACAATCTCTTCCAACTCAGACTCTTCCTAAACAACAACCACATATAACTGATAATTTATCTTTTGATAACTTTATTAACCCTCAAATTATTATTGATAATGCGAAAGTATATCAAAGTATTTCCGACAAAAGGAGTCAATATAATCTTTCCAAAACCATTTGCGAACAATGTGTTGCAAACTACAATATATTGAACAAAGATGATAAAGAAGCCCAGAGAATAAAAATTAGTGATATTTTACGTACTTATCATACATTTAGTATATCTGACTCTGACAAACTTGCCTATAGGAAAACGATATATCCTCAAGGTATTCCATTACGATTTGAACGTTATTAT